AGATTTAGGTTGTGTCCCACCAAATTGTAAATTAATTACCATCCAATGTGTAAAATATGTGATAAAAATATCGTATTTTATTCCCTATCTGACAATGACGTAATTTTTAAGCTATCTGAGTCTCAATCAGCCAGTAGTGGGACAGGCCCTTAAGGCCGAAAAACATTCTCGACTTAAAAAAACTATGGCAGTTCGAAAAAGCACCTTTTTTTAGAGCCACGATGTCATGTAACTAGCAACCCCTATCCATAGACAAAATTAAATCAAAAAAATCTGATTATTCCGTTTAATGGAAAAAACTCGGATAGAACTTATTTTTTCTTAATTGGTCTACTAATTCATTTTGTCAATTATTTGCAACAGCCATCTTAAAGAAATAAATTAACTATAGGAATATAGAAAAATATAAAACAAGCATCAAAACTTACCTAGAGTGCCCCTGATGTTGCATCCGCACCCAGAGTTTGTTCATTTCAGCGAAATTCATCAGAACAAAATCGATCGCGTCACGCACCTTCAAAAGAAAAAAAGAACAATTAAAATTTTAAACTGACGGCAGATTACCAAAAAAAAAAACTAAATATAAAATTTCAGTCAGTAGAATAACATGACTTTGTGAAAATAAACTTACTACGTATTAAAGTTATTACTTGCCAGGTAAGTGGACAGTCAAAGTAGAGGACAGTAAGGGCTTATCCAACCAAATTATACATTTTCTGATAACAATCGAACATGTAAAATATGTGATGGAAATATCGGACAGTGACATCAGTTTTAAGCTATCTGAGCCTCTATCAGCCAGTAGTGGGACAAGCCTTAAGAGTAGCAAAAACTTCTAGATTAAATCCATAATTTTAATAAAGAAAACACTATTTCCTAGCTTACACTACTAAACAAAACATAGGAAGTATTAGTTAATAAGGTAAGAAACTAAATGGATTACCGCATTATTTATAAATATCCGTAAGTTCATAAGCATTTAAAAAAATCCAATAGACTATATATTAGTAAATAAACCGTAAACTTACAGTCCCTTCATTATCATTCTGGGCCTCAATTGTATCTGGAAGTACATTCCGAGTGCACTGCAAAAGGTAATTCCTTAGAAACAGTCCTCGTAAGGGATGTTGAACACCACGGCACATTTCAACTAAATCCTGGAAATTTAAAAAGTCATTTAAAAACCTCGAAATTAACAGTAAAATTGTGCAATCTAGCAAATTCACTTTAAGATCTGAGATTTAAAAAAAATGCATGTTCCTAATTTATTTCAAGTAAAGGTGCAAAAAAAATGTTATTGGTTTTGTTGAACGCTGTCTACTTAATTTCTACTACAACTTAGTATTATTGTGTGCCAGAGAGCTAATTTTAGTCCCTTTCCCTTTCCACTCGATTATAAGGAGAGGTTGAGAAGAGAAAGGGACTTTAATTAGGCTTCCTGCAAGCTCTCAACAGACGAAACACGGAATTGTTCCTACTATATGACTATACTATATTCGCCATTTCGGATTCGGGCTTATTTGTTATGTTACTAAATATTGAACAGTGGTAGTGCCTGCTTTAACATCTTCGTAAGAATGGGCGCCGCCCGGTGCAATACCACGACCACACAGAAATCAGGCGTTTCGTCAGATGTGTGTGATGCAGGAGGGCTAATTATAGTCTCTTTCCCTTTCCACCCTTTTCTTGAGAGGAAAGGGTTGGAAGGAAAAGTGGATATTAGACAGACAGAGAGGAGATGCATAAGACGGGGAAATATCCTCTTTATGTGAGTCTCCTACGTCAATTAAGAGTAGGCAACGCATCTGCAATTGCGGATGTTATAGGCCGCGGTCGCTTTCCATTTCGATGGATTCAGGCCGCTTGCTCGTTTGCCACCTTATATTATTAAAAAACACAATAATTTACCTTGAGTAGATCTCTCCGTAAGTTAGTATTAGTCTTGATATAGACCAATCCGACTGTAATCAATAAATACAGCCGCGGCACAATGTTCCCAGCGTACTGTACTAGTTCATACAAGTCTGCAACCTTCCTGCCTTTTTGAAACTCTTCCAATAAGTACAACTCCAAATGTCGGAGCTCATCTGTTATTGCCATATCTGATTATATGTTAAGGAGTTTAAATAAAATTAATGTTTTTACTACTATATTAGATAAATGGATGAATCTCAAAAATGTTTGAACATATCTAGATTAAACTCCGAACAAGAATTAAAAAAATGAAAAAAAAGCACATTTTATAACACTTATGTCTTGAATATTTGTTGTTTCAAACATTACTTAGAGTAAAAAATAGCAGATATACATAATTTTCTTATTAAGATTTCATATTTACCACTAATGCAAATAAATACATCAAGATTTTCTTTTACATACAGAATCCATTTTCACTAATACCATCCATTTTTAATAAACCATAATAATATTAAGCTGTAGATTGTCTGTTGTTTTTCCAACTGGCTCCTGTATATATATTGTGGTTGTCTTAGAGTATCATATATACTTGACATTGGCAAAGTCTCTAAGGAAACGTCATTAACACAAAAGATAGATAGATATTTACTATAATAACTTAAAAACTACTCGGCCGATTTCAAAAATGTCTCATTAAAAAAACTGTTATTAGTGAGTAACATAGGCTACATTTCTTGTATTTTAGTAAGAGATTGTCCAGTGTAAATTGATGCATAGTTTGTATTGTGCTTTTGTTTTTAAAGGATACAAAGTTCATAATAGCTTTTAGGTGATAATACAGATGTCCTCAGCTCTCCCAGCATAGTGGATGCGTGCTTTAGGGCATCCATTTGCTTGGATTTGTCCAGGCATCTCTTCATCTGAAATGCCTACAATAAAAACATACATTTAAACATACTATTAAGTTGGATAGTTGACAATTAGAGGCAAAAAAAGCTTTTAGACACTTCAATATTGTTTTTATGATAAAATTATAATACTTGTTTACCTGGACTTTGACAATATTCAACGCCTCATCTAGCAATTTCTCTTGCTCCTCAACCGGGGAAGTTTGATTCGTCATTTGTGCCTGGATTGGACAAAAACTCATTTAATAACACTTTAATATAACATCATTTTATTAAAATAAACACGACATATAACAAGAAATAAACTACAACATACATTCGACCAAATGTACAAGAAAGGATGGTCAACGTTCTCCATTTTATGTAAACTACGTAAGTAATAAGTAACAAGCAACACACCTGCGTCGTGTTATAATAACAAACAGCAAAACTTTCTGCAGCTGATAAGAAAAGTTGTTAAAAACCTCCTTGAGATTAAGTGGGTGTTTTTAATGCGATCGTATTTTTTGTAAATTTTTAATCTGACAAGATTTTTGACAATTCGTTCATAGATGTCACTATTCGTAACCACAGGCTTTCAAATTAGATTTTTAAGGAAAATTTGTAAAAATCGGCGATTTCTAAATAATATGGTCAGAATTTTGATTAATAATTATTCTCTTGTGCTCAAGGTATTTGAGTTAAATTATGATCTGTTTATAATTACTTTCCTGAAATTATAATTTTATTGATTTCTGATTTCATGACACATGACAGCTATTTGTCAGTCTTAGATTGACATTTAAATTAGCTTTGTTTATAAAATTATACTCTGTTAATTAATTCTTATCAATGTTGATCGAGAAAAAACTAATGTGAATAATAATTATGGATAACAAGCCCTCGTTAAGTCAATACTTCAAGAGTTCCGAGGTGCCGCCCGCATCTCAGTTTTTCGACGAAATCGGAACATCGCCGTCTGAGATGATTCAAAGTGTTTATTTGGGAGAAAACGAAGGTTTTTACAATTTATTTGATTGCTAGTATAGTTCTAAATATTCTTAATTAATATATGTGTATTATTACAGCCAATACAACTAAGACGACGAATATTTTCACACAGAATGTAACTACATCGTTTGCGCAGACTAAAGTGACCCAGGAGCTTACTTTTGGGACAGTTTTACCTACTGTTAGTGGGTCTACGCCTATCCCTGCTACCAGTCTGCCAGATCCTTCAACATTCTTTGATACTATTGGGCCTGAACCCCAATTGGGATCCAGTAAGAGTACTATCGCAGTCCCACCAGCTTTAATCACTGAAGCAATAGATGGATTGAGTATTAAGGTACGTGTAGTGTACGATGTTTCGTGTATTATGTTAAACAACAAACATTAAATTTATACAGCAGCTATAAGCTATAATAATATGTATTTTTGGAATTTAGTATGTACTGAAATAACTCCAAAAGTACTGGACTGATTTTAAAAATTCTGTCACCTTGAAAAGGCTATGTTATCAGAGAGTAACAGGATGTATTTTAAAATTTTACACATGAAATTGCGCGCAAGAGTTACTATTTCACATTTTGATCTTGTAAACATTGTTATATTAAAATAAAGTCATATTGTAAAATTAAGATAACAAATGATATAATAGCTTTATAAAAATGTTAGAAATATAGTATGATGTACTTTGTGAAAGAAATCCCTCCTTTAGAAGACCATCTCAGTCTAGTCAGTTACTTTGTGTTAACCATCATCTCCGCAGCATTATCTTAAAATTTTGGCACAAGGTTTCTAATGTTTTGGCTTCATTTTAACAGTTTAATGTCTACATGTTACCAACTATACACAAGATATGCTATTACATGATATTGTTGATGGAAATAATAAAGTTCATGATTAATAAATAATGTTTTCAGAACCAACCTGTGGATAAGGAAGCTGACAGACGCAGAGATGCGTGGATACCTAATGAAGAAGCTAAGAAAACTTTGTTAAAGGTAAGCAAAAACGAAATCAATGTATGCTAGATGATTTCATTAATTTTAGTCCTCATTGTGTTCCTAAATAAGTGGAAAGAGAGTTTTTGTGTCTAAATTGTTTGGAAAAGTAATTGCTTCAAACCAATTTTTGTTTTTTTTTATGTATTTCCATTTCACGCCAGGCTCAATCATCGCCCGCTGGATCATTCTTTCCTGAGCGAGAAGTACTTACTATGCCAGGTTTGGTCCTGGAAGAAGAATTGGTAAGATTTTCTTAAAATAAATCAAATAGAAACCCATCCATTTCCAATGTCAACATTATTGATAGAAGACAGATATGTAGTATTGAGAAAGAAATCATTACTGTGTTGGAGGATTGAAGCAACACTAGAATATTGGCATATATGTCCTGTCCCTATGTCAGCTGTTAATGTCATTCAGATGTATTGGAATAGTGCACCATTCAGGCGGGAGCAGTATGTCTGAGTGTTTCAAGTTATTTATTCTTGTTACAATTATATTAATTGCTAAAAGTAGTTACAATCATAATTTATAATTTAATTAACTAATTATTAAACCAACTAATTAATAATTTAATCAATTGATTAATAATTAACCAGGCAGATGCACTACAAGAAGTGGCAGTGAAGTACCTTGGCGTCAGTTCTGCGGGTAGTCGCGGCGTGGTGCGCGCGGAGCATGTCAGCAGGGATGAGGCCGGCTTGAGAGAACTGCTTCGCACAGGATACCTCAGAGCGGCCGTTAATCTAACTGCTACATTGTTATCAGCTGCTGGACAAGGTAATGATCAACAGTTCATTAAAACATGGTCATAAAGGTCTCCTCCCCTGCTTATCTATCTAGCTTTCCTTTGTAACTTTGGCAATTTTAGATTGTCTTCATATAGTTTCTCTATTGTTGCGGATTTTTCGGGGTCTTTGTTCCCGAATTTCGTTTGTCCCCTTCTCGTTTATAAAACGCTATATTACTAACTATTAATATAATAATGATGATAAAATAACTTTTTTTATTGATTCTGATATTAATAATAAATACCAAAGTATAGATTGTGTGAAAGAGGATATGCTTAGTGGAGTGATTTAATCCATTCAGAAGGCAAACATCATACACTTAATAACACAGTTGACAAAAATAATGACGGAGGAAAAGAAAGTTTTACAAACGACAACAAAAAATATACAAATACACAATAATAAGCATCAATAAAAAAATCATAACTTTCAAGATTTTTTTTAACTAAGTTTGCTATGCTGAATGGATAAGGCCTTTACACAGCTAAGTGCTTATTACAGTATAGATACAGAATAGAAATGTATGGACCAATAGCACTGAGCCGACTCTTTGTGACAAGGGTGGTTTGGTGATGAATTGATGATTAAACTAGGGGTGGGTCGTATGCACCGTCCAACAAAGCACACTCCCCGCTCGCTGCAGCTTTGGCTGACGAGGTTCGCGGTCATGCTGAGAATAAAACTGCACGAGCCACTACTCGAAGAGGCTGAACCATTTGGAGATCTCAGTAAACCGGATATGTTTTATCAGGTATGTGATATTGTATATTATAAATTAATAATAATAAATTATAAGTAAAACCTATCATCAACTTGCCCTTATCCCTTACTGAGGGTCGGCACAGTATGTGCTCTTCCATACATCTCTATCAGCCGTCATATCTGAATCCACTTCCTTAAGCATATCCTCTTTCACACAATCCATCCATACTTTCTTCTGTCTTCCTTTACCTTTGTAGCCATCCACATTCAATCTTAACACTTTCTGGTTTATGTCTCCAATTTCTCGCCGCATAACATAAATTATTAATATTACTATAATGTATTGTTAACAATCTCCGATGCATGGTAACATTTCTGACCATACAAAATTCCCTTCGTAACCGCACAGCGTCTTAAATAAGTACACACTTAAACAACAAATTCTATTAAAACTATGATGTCTGTGAATTGTAAGTTACGAAACGAAGTGCTTAAAGGTAGTCTCTTTACTCGTTTAGTTACATAATATATTTATTTCCATTGCATACTCTTTACTCTACTTTTCCGGGTTTCCACACATATGTAATTTTAATTGTAATAAAAATTTAATTTTAATATGACTCAGTTAAGTTGTCACTGTGCTAATACCTCGGAAATACAGACAGATTCTCTGAGTAAATTAAGTATGATAAATCTTGTCAAATGTATAGTTGACTTAACTACGAAATACATTTGTATATGACAGTAAATATATTTTAAGTTGGTATGGTTAATTAATTCTTTAAGTATTTGTTATGAATAAATTGATGTCTTCTTATTTTCAGTTTTATCCGGAGGCATATGAGAATCGAACTGGTTCTTTAGTACCTTTTTCCTTGCGACTTCTAATCGCTGAGTTGCCAGGACACGTGGGAAAACCGGAGGAGGCAGCTGATCGTCTTTACATTATGTTGGATATTATACAGCAGGTAAAATAATTTATTCAGTTAATTAATTAATTAATAATTATTTCATTAATTAATTTAATCTATTTCAATATTATATTGATTAAAGGAGGAGGAGATATTTGTATATTTGTATATATTGAAATAATTCTAAGTTACTGGGCCGATTTCATTGTTAGAAGGCTACCAGTAATTAAAAGAAAAAAAATTCACGCTTACGAAGTCGCGATCAAGTTACAAATAAGATAACATTTTTTAATGACTACTTGAAACTTGAAACACTATTTAGTTTTTTAATTACCTATCTATTCATTTTAATATATGAAAACATTTTTATTTCCAGATGTTATCAAATCTCCAGCAAGGGAAGACAGAAGATGGTTCAGGAACTATAACGGAGCAGGATAAAATGGAATCAGTCAGATTGTGGACTGGCAGACAAACTAGAGTGTTGCATTCTATAGTTAATTGTGCGATTGCCCTAAAGGTGAGAACTTATTATAAAATATTGCATTAAAATGACACGTTTTTTTGTATTTTCTGTTATGTGGTTTTACTTTAATGGATAGATGAATTTAAATATTGTACCGTTATATCAAAACAACCAGGCTTTATAAAAAAAAGTCGTGCTAATTGTGTGTTATCAAACTAATCTATACTATTGTAATAAAGCGTAAACACACACTTCTTTGTTGCCTAAGATGACAGCAATTACACCATATTTTTGAATAATTCTTTTTTTAATAAAAAGCCCTACACTTACGTTACGCTATATATTTTTACGACATTTTTATTGATAATTTGACAAATGTAAACAATAAAATAAAATTTCCATAATTTCATGCGGATGAAGCCACACGGGAACAGCTAGTAAAATATAATTTTAAAATAGAAAAAGTAGTTGCTATCATCTAATAAAAAAAAAGAAAACGGACTTTAAGACAAACATTTCCGTCTCTTGGTACACTTTTTTTTGAGAAACTCAAAAACCACTGCACATTTGACAAAACAAATGACAGTTATTCTATTCATAAAAAATATCGATCGAATTGCAAACTTTCGCCTTTTGAAAATCGATTAAAAATAATTTAATTATTACAGGACTATCGTTTAGCGAGTAAGATATTGGTATCTCTTCACAAGCAAGCTCCCTCAGCAGCACAGAAGAGGGCGCTGGCGAGCGCGCTCTGCCGCCTGTGGCTGCTGGCTGGCCATCTGAAAGCTGCTATGCTACATCTAGAAGATGCTAGAGAGACGAGACATCAATTGTAAGTTATTCCTAATTATTGGTTACTAGCTTCGCGTATTAGTCCGCGCGGAAAAAATGTAATAAATACAGTCTTTACTTGGTGATAACCTAGCTATTTATTGGTGAAAGAATGTATTAAATTGGCCAAGAAGTTTTTAAGTTATTTCAATACATACAAAAATACAAATCTGTCCTCTTTATATTAGTATTGATTAATTACAATTATGAAAAAAAAAACATTGCCTTCTATTGTTATTTAAATATTATTTATTGTTGTTTTGTGTGAAAAAAATACGTGTATATTATAATTTCTCATGTTAGTATACCTCTGTCTTCTTACTAATATTATAATTGAAGAAATTTAGATGGATGGATGTTTGTTAGAGTTTGTAGCCTTATCTGTTGAATGGATCTCGATGAAATTTGGCAAAAATAAAGCAAAGGCTAGGAGAACACATATGCTACTTGTTTGTTTTAATTACACGCAGACTTATTAGCAAATAAATATATGCTTAGTTAATTTAATCAGTCAATTAATTATTTTAATTAATCAAGTGAATAATTTAATTAATAAAACTTTAAACACCCTTTATGTTAGATGTCCAACGCCAGATGTGAGGGAGTATGTAGACTTGGGACTGATCGATATCGCGTACGGGAAGTACCAAGATGCATATAATAACTTCGCTAGAGCTGCGGAACAGGAGCCTACAAATATTATGGTAACTATGAACTCACTTTTCCTACTCCTGTATGTTCGGGGCAACAGGTTTTCCTCCAAATAACTCTATCATCCGTCATCTCAGTCAACTCTCCCTTCTTGATGCATGATCCACGCAATCCATCTGTATCTATGATAGGTCTACCTCTACCGGTGCACCCAAGGGAGGATCCAGCTTTGGCGCCAGGGAGGGGGGGGGGTCACATAGTCGTGGTCAAGTCAAGAGCTTCACAAAATATGTAATTATTAGTGTATTAGTATACTTGACCATCCAGCTCAGGGTGACCCCCGTGACCCCCCCGCTGAATCCGCCGTTGTGTGTACCTCACTCGTCAGTTAACTGTGAAATCTTTTGTATGTGTAAAGTTGTACCAATTGTCAAATATTGAATAATTAAATATGAAACTATGCTATTTAAACTGTATGTAAACATTTCATTGTGAAATCATTTAAATGTATGGAAGAGCAGCACATTTTGTGCCGATCCTCCATAAGAGAAGGGCAAAAAACTCATTAAACACAACGATTGTTAAACTTTGCATTCTAGAAAATGTACTTTAAACTATTACTTATCGAGATCTATGCATATAATTCACTTGAATCTTCTACAGGTTGCCAATAATTTATCCGTCTGTCTTCTCTACATGGGTCGCTTGAAGGAAGCCATCGCTGTATTACAAAAGGCCATCAACTCCGACCCCGAGAGAGGCCTCAATGAAAGCCTATTGATAAACCTTTGCACACTTTATGAGTTAGAATCATCTAAAACCAACGAGAAAAAATTAAACCTTCTAAGAATGTTGTGCAAACATAAAAGTGATACAATACCCAATGTATTAGAATGCTTAAAGCTTACTTAAGTTATTTATAGCTTAAGTTGTCATGATACAAGTCAAAAGTAATTATGTAAGAAAAATTGTTACGGCTAATTGTATGATTATTGTTTAATTTGAGATAAAAAAAATAGACAATTAATATAATTAAATATTTATTTACAATAATTACAAAATTATTAAATAAATCTATCTTAATCACAGAATATTTAAATACAATAGTTGATGGTACTTACATAATATAAGAATCAATTAAAATAATAACAATAATTTATGCTTCATCAAGGTTAGCGAATATTAAAAGAAAATATATAATAAAGACAATGGATATATTAAAAAAGCAGGAAAAAACGAAAAGCTATATGTTAACTTAATACTTATGTTATTTAAAATATATTCACAATGTGTAATTTTGAATAATAATTTTGTATGTAAAAAGCAAGAAAACAAGAAAAAATGTAAGAACATACATTTAATTTTTTATGTTCTAAAAATAATTTAGTTAAGTGGAACACAACCCAAAACAATCTTACACTAGTTAATTACAAAACAAATGGTTTGACGACTTTTAACTTAATAAAAAAAATTACTTGGCTGTAAAACTAGTTTTTGTCATCCGAAAAAAAAAAAAACATTAAAACACCCATATAAAAATACTTTCCACTTGACCTTAAAATTGAAATAGTTCTGTTTGGGTGTTTTGTTGTAGAAAGGTTATGAACATTATTGAATAATTAATTTAATTACTTATTAATTATTTATCAAGCAATTAATAATTAGTTCATTAATTAATTTTGAAAATAAACATTTTCATAGAACAATTTCTTTTATTTGCATATTCTATAATTAATCCGGTTATATATATTTATTGCTTTTAATTTAACATAAGTTTAGTTTCTCCCAAATTAGAATAAAACCACAAACACTTGACACTGGCCCAATCCGCTGTGGGAGAGCAATAAACAAGAAATGGAATAGAATAACATCAGAATAATTTATTTAAATCATTATTAATTTTAATTCAGGGCTTTACTCTTAATTTGCACACTTATTAGCAAAATAATTTGGTGTGATTTTTTAATATTGTATTTTTTCATCTAGCAATAATTATTTTAACAATTTTGCTTACACTTAAAGTTATAACCACCTTTGGTCCTAAGTTACAACTATAACAATTTTCCTGAAATAGCACTTTAAAAAAGAAAATTAGCAAAAACATTTTCAAGCCAAATCTATCACTTAGTATATTGCAGTTTGGAGCATTTTAACTAAGCCAATTTAACCCTGTGCTATACTTGTAAATGTTATAGATCCTTATGGAGTGACAATTTTCGTATATTAGTGTTTTTTAATGCAATAAAATCAGGGCATATACTAGTGGATCATTAACTTTGGCCACAAGTGTAATCCAAATAAGTTTCCAACAATTGAAGTCAAGATTATCACACTGCAAAGGTTAACACTTTCAATGCCATATAGATAAAAATTAAACTCGCTAAACCGCAGTGATTGTTTTGAACAATTTTTTACACTTCCCTACAAAATCAGTTCAGCAACTTGTAGTATCCAATGTCACAAAAGATAACACACTTACTAAAATAGCCGATTTTCATAAATCTACCTTAGATCCCATACCTGTAAGAGGTATCGCTTGTAATTCCGACCTTATACATAGGAATTCTCCCATAACACAGGTGACGGCAGCACACGCTATGTTCAAACTCCACCATGAAAATGTAGTCGGAAATGTTCCATTGTATATCCAACAGGCTATTAAATGTAAGCCGTGGAATGTGCAACTGGAAACAATTTAATTATATTATCTATACATATAATAAAACTAGCGTTCGCCCGCGCCTCCATCCGCGTGGAATTAAAAAACTCAAAAGTGAGTGGCCTATGTGTTCTTCCAGACCTCATCACCAGCTCACTATACGTCCCCATCGAGGGGCTCGGAGCCTACCCTAATATGGGGTGACTAGGCCATAGTCAACCACGCTGCCCCAGTGCGGGTTGGTTGACTTCATACATATCTTTTAATTTCTTCGCCAATATGTGCAGTTGCATCACGATGTTTTCCTTCACGGTAAGAACGTCGGGTAAATTATGTACATATGAAAATTCGAAAAATCGAAAATCACATTGGTACATGGCGGGATTCGAACCCAAGACCTGTAGATTACAAGTCAAGTGTTCAAACCACTGAGCCACCGACGCTCCTGACACGCTCTTCCAGACAATCCTCTATATCTATACCAAATATCATCGAAATCCACTCAGCCATTTAGGCTACAAACTCTAACAAACATCCATCTAAACTTTCGCATTTATATTAGTAAAGTAATAAATTTGGAGTGTCTATAATATCAAAGGAAAAATTCCAGATTTCGGTAAGATGATGTATTTGCGTTGCGACGCGAAAATCGCATTTAAAAATTTTTTGTCTATCTGTCCGCAAGCCGCGTTAGTTCCCTGATAATCTCTGAATCGGTTGGGCTGATTTCGACGGGACTTTCATTTTAGCTGACATAGACGGGGATATTATAGCCTACTTTTTTTTAATTCCGTGCTGTCAAAATGGCGACCGGACCACTACCTATGGAACGGGTGACTAAATGATAGCTGGTAGAACGTAGATGCACATGGGAATGTGATAGATGACTTCATTTTTTTATATCTGTGGTAACAAAGCTCATTAATATCATAAATGCGGAAGTTTAGATAGATGTTTGTTAGTGTGTAGCTTAAACTGCTGGATAGATCTTGATGAAATTTGACAGAGACATAGAGGATAGTCTTGAATAAAACATAGGCTTGTGACTTGTTTTTTATTCCATTATGTAGAATAATATTTTATTAATTTTAAAGACAAGCAACAAAACAACAAAGGAGGTGTATCAGTGGTCTTAGTTGCCAAATTTTCTATAACATGAGGACTATCATGATGTCAAATTACCATATTATTTATTGGGTCTGACTGATTGTCAAATTTTTAACCCTCTAATAAAACTAATTTTAACTAGATTTTAAGTATTTTAAACAGATAAAAAAAGACAAATAAAGCAAATTATAGTTTACCTTACCTAAAGTCAAGGCACAGCTTTGTTCTTCCAACAACATTCCATAGTAAAAATGCACCAATTACTGCATTAAAACCAAAGGCAATTATCACTGAGCGGCCCTCTGCATCTCTTACATGAATCTCCTAAAACAGTATAAACAAACTATATTAAAAATATGAAAGGATGGATCTTTGTCTGTTATGTTACGCAGGGCAGATGTGTTTTTCTTATATAGATATCCCATAACCACTATATGTACAATTTTTTCAAGCGCAGTATGTCTAAAACCTTAGTGAAAGGAGCATACGACAAATAATATTATGAAAAATACTAACATGGTATTGAAATATGTGATCCAACGTCCGTGTGGATCCCGTCAAATCTTGCATCACTGCGACCAAAAGGCACAACGTAAGGTAGAGTAGGAACTGCATTGCCACTATTTGAGACACGATCAGACACGGATCCCATTGCGTATAGCGGAAAGAGCCTGATAATTTCTTTATTTTAGACATTTTAACTTCGCACTATTTCTTATTTGTTAACTACGCGAATTCTATTTCAAGCATTCTTAATAAGTCTTTAATAACTTCCTTTTAACTTGCGGAGAAATTGTACATATGGTATATTATTGTTGGGATGATGAAATTAAATAAAATTCACGTATTTCGTTTCGTTCGAGTTCGATGACATGTTTATGACATTTAGATGACACATAGATTTGTCAATGTCAAATTGATTTACAAAATTAGTTTTTTATGAGTATTTAGGTACACGGTTTTTGGACAAAAACAATATTTTTTTTTAAATCAAAACCTATTTTTAATATTTTTCGATAGCTCAGCCGAAGATATTTATAAATTCGATTTTCGTCACATTTAATTCCAATCTTCCAAATCTTTTTCTACTTCCTATAAAAGCAAACAAATAAAACTGTTTAACAGCATTTATTAAATGATGGTTATACTTTACCTTTACTTTTTAACTAATATTTAAAAATGATTACAAAGAAAGTTCGTCGTGCTGGTATAAAATATTTATATGCTGTTAAAATGCAATTAGCATTAAACATGTCTCGTATTTTCTTGATAAACTTGGCACTTATGGTAAAAGCTATACTTACGTGATGTGAATGAATCAGTGCGATATGCAATTTGGCGCGACTTTACAATTGATTGCTGGACGTGAAATCACCGCTGAACGTTGCAATAAAATCCAAAAATAACTGATTGGGCCTTACTGATTCATTGTACAGTACTGTAAGCAAAATAAAGCTATTACATTTAACAAAACAAGCTTGAAAAACAATAACTGGTTACATGGGTGTCGTTAGCTGATGGTTCAGGGGCGACAGGCCGATTAGTCTTAGTGACAATAATCTTTTTTTTTATCATTTCAAAGAGATTGTCAACATGTGGTATAACTTTAATTAACAACTTGTATGTCATTTTTGAGTTATCTATGTAGGTATTGAGTCTGTAGGGAAACTTTATACTTTTTTTTATATTATAAGGTGGTAAACGAGCAAGCGACCACCTGAATCCACCGAAATGGAAAGCGAGCGCTGCCCATAAACATCTGCAATTGCAGATGCGTTGCCTGCCCTTAATTGACGGAGTAGGAGACGCAAATGAAGGGGACATTTGCCCTTCTATGCGTCTCCTCCGCCGTCAAATCTACTTTTCTTCCCATTCTTTCCTCTTAAGAAAAGGGTGGAAAAGGAAAGGGATTAACATTAGGCCTCCGGCACTACACTCATCAGACGAAACACGGGATTGCTTCCACTTCACGCCTGTTTTCTGTGAGGTCATGGTATTACACCGGGCGAGCCGACCCATTTGTGCGAAGATGTTAAAGCGGGCTGTACCACTGTTAAATTTTACATATATTTTACAATTTAAGAATCTATAGGATTGGCAGCGGCCCCCATATTTTACTCACCTTGGCTGAATACTAAACATTGCGCAAGAAAACTTGATCAAGCCATTCAAATTGTTTGTTTAAACAGGTATTTTTCTTACTCGATAAAAAACTCTTAATAAGAGTAAAATGCCTGTTTCCTTCATTAAGTTCTATAGATGTTTGTAATTAAGACAATATTTAAATACTACTTGATGAAATCTCTGTAGTTACACAAACAATCCATAATTAAAACCATATCGGTCAAGTAATAATAACTTTATTAAACATACATAAGTCCAATGTTATGCCTTACTATGGCATGTTTTATTGCAAAACCTTGTCGAACGTGTTCTCTATATAACTTTGTCTCCCTGAACGATTTGCCTAGTAATCTTATTAATAATCTTATAGATATAAATATTATAAATGCGAAAGTTACGATGGATGGATGTTTGTTAGCGTTTGTAGCCTAAACGGCTGAACGGATTTCGATGAAATTTGGTGTAGATGTAGAGGATGGTAAGAAAGAACACATAGGCTACCATTTATCACAGGAACAGTTACGGTTCCCGTAGGATTAATTTAGCTTTTTAATATTTACTCGATCATTGTGCAACGGTTCCACATATATTATTGAAATTTGGCACAGATATAAAACAATGTCTGGAGTACACATAAGGTTCGTCTCCGAGAAATGTCCAGTTCCCGAGGGTTACGTATTTTTTTGTTATTTATATAGTTCGTATGTTTGCTAATACCACGCGGACGAAGTCGCGGGCAACAACTAGTAGTTCTATGTTATCAACATTACGATATATGACTACTAACAAAAATTTTATCTAACATTTGTTGTATTTTTTCAATACCCATATGTCACAAAAGATAATACCAATTCGTAATCAGAATTAAATAGAACTGTCAAAGATAATCAAATGGGTTCCAAAAGTAAGGTTAGCATAGAAACAACTACCCGCGTTTTCTGACTTGCATCAAATCGTGGGTACCTATTGCCAATTGTACTGTCTCAATGTTTTGTGTACATTGTTTATGGAAAATGTTAAATCACACTTCACACTGTTATAAATACGAAAGTTTAGATGGACGAATGGATGTTTGTAGATTGTATATTGTATGATGTGATGTAGTATGATTTTGTAGCCTAAACGGCTGAACGGATTTCGATGAAATTTGGTTTATACGTAGAGGATTGTGAAGAAGAACGCATTGTCTACACACTTTAGATTTTTTTTAATTCCATGCGGACGTAATCGCGGGCGAAACTTACTATTTGGAATATCTCCGCAAAGGAAAATTGCTGTTATATTATTTTAGTAGACTAAACTGATTTTGACAAGTGGGCTATTTTCCTTAATTTTTAAGCAGAAGGCGAAATGAGCAATACAATTATACAGCTTACCCCACCTTCAAGCAAATATAACTAATTACTGATGATCGAAGTACCCGACTGACCAAAAGGGTAATATTTTACAGTTTCCTTTTATATATGGGATTGTATGTATGTAAATTCCATTGTTACGGCCTACAGTTTAAATTATTGAACCTATTTTTACGAATAAAGTGACATTGGTTTCGTCTTCTTCTCAAGAGTGTCATAAAATAAGGTTATAAGATATTGTTGCGGCCTTTAAAACTGAAATTCAAAAACAATGGTGAAAACTAGTGACTACTTTTTTTTCATTTCTAAATCTATTCTTAATGTTTTTGAGGATTATTAGAGTAGACGAGATTTTTTTGTTTCTTATTTTTTTTATTATAGTTTTTTTATAGTGTTTTTGTATTTGTTGTGCTGACGCTACTGCGCAGAACGTTCGTTTAGTTCCAAAAGGTTGCATCCTATGAGCTGAGAAGTTCTGTCTGATAAGTATTTAAATTAGTGTACAAAATGGGAGCATTGCGGGCGGTCGCTTTCTGGTAAGTTATTTCCCTAGTGATAAACATGAGACAGTTATAAAAGACTTCGTTACTTGAAATGTGATAAACGTGACATTTTTGTGTTCTATGTTTTTCGAAATGCGTAAAATTTTCCGCTACTGTATTTTGCTTTTTCAACAATCCATGAATCTCAATTTTTGTTCGTCAATTTCTTTATTACGTTCTTTAATTCTCTCTTAATTCATGTTTTTGAATTGGATTCATGATAATGATGAAAATTTATTTTTCTTCTTCAATTCCGCCCTGGGCGTGATTTCTATGCCGCCCTAATAACTTACCATACCTTTGGGGGAGTTAAAACAGGGTGACGTAAGATTTGTAATTCACAGATTAGCGCCCCTTTTTGTCGAACGCCCTAAACTAACGCTACTGTCCCACTTTCTTGGAACATTTCCTTCCATTCTGATAAGTAAAAATATGTAATCAAAGTAAAATAATAAATGCGAAAGTTTAGATGAATGGATGTTTGCTAGAGTTTGTAGCCTAAACTGCTGAAAGGAACTGGATGAAATTCGGCATAAGTGAAGAGAATAATAAGTAAGAACACATAGGTATGACGGATAGGGTCGCGTGCGAAAGCTATTCAAATATAAATCATAGCTAACTGGGTGGTTATTGATTCTACCAAAGTAGATAAAAATGATTACAACGTCGATAAAAGCACCAAAACAATGATAAAACTTTAAATCATAGTATAGTTACATTTCATATTATCAAAAAATTTTATCAGTCATAGTTAGTAACAACGTAATAGGTAGATAATCGGGTTGTCATGGCCCGAAACAAACGACAGGGCCTAGGATAGAGCGAGCTGGCGGCTCACTGCGGACGCCCACTGCACCACTTCGGGGACATAGGACAATAAGAGGCAGAAGGACAAATGTCAGCACATTATAAATCCCACGGGCGTCCGGAGGGGGGGGCGAGCATCTGAACGAGGGCTCAGCGAAAAGAGGGCGTCATGCTTCTCTGAGCGTGATGCTCTCTTTACAAAGACGTGGGGGTTCAATGTGTTATATGAGATTAATTCACAACTTGACGCCCCTCTCGTCAGACGCCCTGGGCGGACGCCCAACGCCCTGGGCGGACGCCCAACGCCCTGGGCGGACGCCCAACGCCCTTCACTAACGCCACTGCAAACACTATTTAATAGCTGTTGCTCGCGACTTTGTCCGCGTGGAATAAAAGAATTAAAAGAGGTAGCCTATGCTCTACAGCCAAATTTCATCGACATTCATTCAACAGTTTAGGCTACAAACTCTAATATCTATCCATCCATTTAAACTTTCGCATGTTAGGCAAGGGCGAATCCTGCTTTGGCGCCAGTGGGGGGCGAGTTCACATAGTCGTGGTCAAATCAAAAGCTCGGGGGTGGGGTCATGACCCTCATGCCCCCCCCCCTGGATCCGCCGTTGATATTAGGTGAAGAACATTATACATAAGAATAATATTAACATATTTTTATTACAGCGTGCTAGTTAGCGTGGTATTTGGGGAACTTCGTAAATTCCCTCCCGGCTTCAAATGGGGCGCCGCGACTTCTTCCTATCAAATAGAGGGTGCTTGGAATGTCAGCGGTGAGTGCATACTAATGCGGGGTTTCCGAAGTTTCTAGTAATTTCATCATTACCTAGTGATTCATAAGTGTTATGTTTTGAGTAAAACTTAAGTTTGAAATTCCTGACAGTTCTAATAAGGAAAAAAGAACAAAAAAATAAACAAGTAAGTTATGTGAATAATTACGTGGATATGCAGGTTGCATCACGATGATTTTGTTTAATCGTAAAAACAAAGGACAAATGTAGAGACAAACATATTCTATGTCAAAAATATAACTGTAACAATTGTTGGCGCGCTTATTTTTAAAACTTTAAATTGATTATGACAGCTGTTATAGGGAGGGGACGTCAACGTCGATATTTCCGCAGGTCTAGTGTTGTACCATTACACGGTTGGGTATCGGTTTTTTTAACAATGGAGATCGAAAATAGGAAAACACATTAATACATGACGGAATCTACCTGCAGATTAAAGTCCATTTGTTATCTACTGCGCCACTAACATTAAGTATTACTTTATACTTACCTTTTCAGATAAAGGTGAAAACATCTGGGATAGATTTGTGCACAATAATCCTGCCGGAATTACTGACGGCAGCAATGGCGACGTCGCCTGCGACTCCTACCACAATTGGCACGAAGATGTCAAAATCGCTTCGGAACTAGGTTTGGATTTCTACAGGTGATTCATTTTTCTACCATTTTTCGTGTTTGATGGACTAATACTTAACTAATCGTTTGAAGGAAATAATCTTCCTGTATTGATTTAGCGAAGGTATAGACGAAGACGTATGTCTATGGGCAGCGGTCGCTTTAGAGAGCCGCACACCGTTGACTAAACTTTCGCACAGCTGTTGCGATTGTCGATTGTTTCGTAGCCAATTCAACCTACATAACATTATAGAGCACATTTTTTTTAAACATGTTGTAACCGGGTTGCCTAATACTAGCCTGTTATGTATGTTTTATCAGGAAAGCTGATGAAGGAAGGTCTCCAATTCCGGTGGTTTCTTGCTAGTTTGTCACGATATACTGTAAAAATATATCAATCTATGAATCAAATGATTAAATCTAGTAAAATAATGATTTATTTGAATTTTGAAATATCATCACAAACTGTAAATTGTTACATACAAAATTATATTAATTTTAAATTATAACAATCAGATAAGTATATTTTTTATAGACATTTTAATCCAATCTTATGAATAATCATTGGATTTCAATGAATAACAATTAATTGTTACACAGAAAAACGTTTTTAAATATCTCGAGTAATTAAAATTAACGAAAATTTGCGAAAATTCTTTTTATTCTACTCCAAAAATACGTTTTGCATATAAAACGTTATTTTGTTAGCAATAAATACACAGTTTACCGTACGATTTTTTTTGCAGTCATTAATTTTAACTGACGGCAACGAACATTTTACAGTTTCCTTGATAACGTTTTTTGATCATTTTTATATGAAAACGAATGAAATATTATTCATATTACATCAATTCGGCAAACGTAAAAAATAATGCAGGAAAACTTTATTTTTTTTCTTTTAAATTCGTTAATACAATTTCGTATACCTACTTATTAATTACCGATAATATTACGTAAAACGGAATTCTCAATAATTATAAACACTAATTTTAATAACTAATACTAAAAACGCAGAAAAATGTGACACTAAATATCTTATCGAGATTTATGTAAAAGCATTTACACAAGAAATTAAACAGATGTTTTATTTTCTCAGGCATTTTCGTAAAAACAACACGCAATTATTTATTGATTATTATTATTTGTAGATTCTCAATATCATGGCCAAGACTCCTGCCAACGGGTACAAGTGAAAGAATAAGTGAAGACGGCAAAGCTTATTATAACAAACTAATCAATGGTCTGCTAGAGAAAGGCATACAGCCTGTAGTCACGCTCTACCATTGGGACTTGCCACAAAGATTACAAGACTTAGGTAAATTACTTCTAGAAATAAAATCAAGAAATGTTTGCTTCCAATTTGCAATTCTATCAATACAAATAATTGCTATTTTTTTAACAAGGAGCAAAACACATTTGCACACTACAATTTAATTTTATGGTCAATAATATTTAGATAATCCTTATTTAATTGTTTTTTCATTTTTTTAGGTGGCTGGGCAAACCCTTACATAGCAGATTGGTTTGCTGACTACGCAAGAATAGCGTACAAATTATTCGGTGATCGAGTAAAAACTTGGGTGACAATAAACGAGCCAATTGTCGTTTGCGATGTGTCATATAATACTGGATTATTCGCTCCCGGTGTCAAAGATCCGGAGTTCGGGAATTATATATGCAATAAGAATATTTTATTAGCGCATGCTAAAGCTTGGAGGATATATGATGAGGAATTCAAGCCTAAATATCATGGTTTGTTTATTTCTTATAACAACATTTTAAGGTTAGGTAAGAGTGGTAAGACAGACTGAAGAATAGCGTGGTATATTATGCGGAGAGATAAAGATTACATAAATAAATATTGATGGCTACAAAGGTAGAGAAAGACCAAACAAAGTATGGATTATATGACAGAGGATATGCTTAAGGGAGTGAATAAAGATATGACGGCTGATAGAAAAGTATGTAGCAGTAATGTTCCGATCCCTCAATAGGGACTAAGGCATGTTGAAAAAAATGAGGACAGTCTGAAGATAACGTTAGTGTTCTTAAAAGATTTAACAAACAAAAAGGTAGTTGGTCATTCCACTTGTTATTGTAACTCAATTTGTGGTCGATCAGTGTCGGCGTAAGGGTAGGTCGTTCGTCGACCTCCCAGGACCCTGAACAGAAAGATTACTTAAGTCTGTTAACCCTAAAGCTGGTATAAAAGGGGGCGTCGTAGATATCTCGACCAGGCCGCTAGTAGAGTTAAAACCAATACTAAGAGCGTGCGTACAACTATCGCACAACTGTTTAGTCTCGCTTTGATTCCTATGAGCTTATATGGAGGTGCCCACACTACTCGATTTTTAGTTTTGCAACTAAACAGTTGCGGCTGTGACACAATTGACGATCGTATAACAGTTGTGCGATATTTTAGTTAAAGATGTGCGCCTGCCCAAGTAGATTTTGCAAGGTTCTTGCCATTAATTACATAATTTGCTTTGACAGGTAAAGCCGGGATCACAAACCAGTTGTTCTGGTCAGAGGGCGCCTCAAGCGAATACGAAGATTTGGCGGAACTAGTTAGACAATATATGGTACAAATTCAAAAGATTATTTTCAAAGAACAGAGATAGAATGTTGATGTCACCGACTCTATAAATGGATAGGCTATAACAGCAGTATTTTTCTCTATCCTATTTCGCCATTTTGGCGCATTTTGATAGTTGCAGTGAACATTTTTAGTACTAAGAGGTCATAGATTAAACTGGTATTAAAAATTATTATTTGCAAACAATCGCCTATCCATTTATACAAATCAGTGGTCGTTGTACATCTGATAAAATAAACAGACAGTATTATCTATTAAAATATTTTTCACAGACTGGAATGTACTCTCACGCTATCTATTCAAAAGAGGGTGGATGGCCGCCACAGATAGAAAAACTAATCGCGGAAAAGAGCAAGCAAGAAGGTCATCCGCGGTCAAGATTACCTCCTTTTACTGAGGAAGAAATTAAACTTATTAAAGGTATATTTTAATTGTTACCCGGCTTTGTATGTATTATTTGAGTTGGCACGTAAGTCGGTACATAACTCTTATATAGGATAGGAATAGCTGAGTACAACTTCATCCGCATGAAATTATGAAAATTTTATTTCATTATTTACATGTGTCAAATTATCAATTGCAAATGTCAAAATGACATGATATGACAAAAGTTGACAATCTCGCTTCCTTGATGTTGGCAACTTATAATCTCTTTCCCACATTAGGGTTTTTATCCGAAATATTTACCTCCTAAGTTTAATGGCGTGAAAATATATAGCCTAAAGCGTGACGTAAGTTTAGGGCTTTTTATTAAAAAAAGATTTATTCAAAAATATGCTGTAATCACTGACATCTTAGGCAACAAAGAAGTGTGTGTTTACGCTTTATTATAATAGTAAAGATATTACAGATATAGTATAGATTTGACAACTCACAGTGTTCGTTATTATTTTTTTCGTGAGATTATAGTCAGGTTTTTAAAGTAGTTACAACATAATCCGGTAATCTTACTTCTTACTAATATTATAAATGCGAAAGTTTAGATGGATGGATGGATGGATGGATGTTTGTTAGCGTTTGTAGCCTAAGCGGCTGAACGGATCTTCATGAAATTTGGCACAGGTTTAGAGCATAATCTGGAAGAACACATAGGCTACTTTTTATCCCGAGAATAGTTACGATTCCTGTGGGAATTATTAATTAAGTTTTTTAATGTTTACTCGATCATTCTGCAACGGTTCAACATATCTTATTGAAATTTGTCACAGATATAAAACAAAGTCTTGAGTACACATGGGATAAGCTTCATCCCCGAGAAATGTCCAGTTCCCGGGATACGTAGCTTTTGTAATTTATATAGTTCGTATGTTTTCTAATACCACGCGGACGAAGTTGCGGGCAACAGCTCGTATTTTATAATTCGAACTGTTATGTTAATTTGTTCCCCTTTAATTATAAAAATTTTTGTCTTTCATAGTTATGGGTAATAAATTACCATTTTTTTGCCTCATAATTATCTACAAATGACGTAGTCAATTATTAACACGTTTGATGCTACTAATGTTACTTCTTACTAATATTATAAATGCGAAAGTGTAGATGGATGTTTGTTAAAGTTTGTAGCCTAAACTGAACGGATCTCGATGAAATTTGGCATATAAGTAGACTATAGTCTGGAAGAACACGTAGGCTATTTACTTTTGTTTTGTTTTTTTTATTCGGAGAAATTGAGAATCAAAAGGTTAGCGTGGTATCCACATGTTATGCGACGAGATGGGGACATAAACCTGAAAGTGTTAATGAATGTGGATGGCTACAAAGGAAGAGGAAGACCGAAGAAAGTATGGATGGATTGTGTGAAAGAGGATATGCTTAAGAAAGGAGTGGATCCAGATATGACGGCTGATAGAGATGTATGGAAGAGCAGCGCATACTGTGCCGATCCTCCATAAGGGATAAGGGCAAGTTGATGATGATGATGATGATGCGGACGGAGTCGCGGACAAAAGCTAGTATTTCGTATAAAAACAAACAAGTCGAGTTTCCAAATTATCTGTAATTTAAGAGCGGCCGCACACCTTGGACTAAACTATCGCATAACTGTTGTGCGATTCTCGATTGTTTCGCAGCCAACTGTTTAGTTACACAATTAAAATCGAGTAGTGCACCTCCATATAAGCTCATAGGAATCAAATTGCGATAATTTAGTGGTGGACGCATGCTCTGAATGTTATCAATAAAATTGCATTTTTATGGGATAACAGTAAAGGTAGTTGCAACATTTGACCCCTCACGTAGTGTCCTTTAGCGTCTGAAATAAGTAATTCACATAAAACCCCCTTCAGATTTGATTCCGTTTTACGACATAATTCACTTTAGTATTCAAGTAGTAACTTTTTCTTTGAAGTTTATGACGTGACGGATGTGTTACCGTAAAATAACAACCGTCGGTAATTTTTATATTTACCGCTAAAAGTATTAAATTTTTTTTTTTTTTATTTAATTTCAGTTTATTAGCTGTTCCCGTACCGCTTCATCTGTATTATAAAAAAATTTATAACATTTCGTAAAACTTTGGATGTTTGTTTGTTAGAGTTTGTAGCCTAAACGGCTGAACAGATTTCGATGAAATTTTACATAGATGTTGAGGATAGTCTGGAAGA